CCGATGACGAAAAAATGGAAAGGAATTCCAGGTTGAAAAATTATCATTATTCATTTCTTTTAACTATTTTAGTTTTATAGAAAATTTTAATTATTAAAATTATATTTTTATTTAAAATTTATATTTTAAAAAGTAAAAAAATTAAATTAATCTATTTAAGAAAAATGACGGAGGGAGTAATTATTAAATTTAGCCGATGACGAAAAAATGGAAAGGAATTCCAGGTTTTCGTTTTACCTTTTGCCACCGCGCCAGCCGGCATATAAACCAGAGGGGAGAACGGAAGTGTGATCAGAAGTTCAGAACAATCCCTAAAATTACTCTCCATCCAGATCTGCCGGAGAAACCGGATTCCGAGGCATTTCCGGCGAGGCCTTTCCAAACAACATGCACAATCAGGAAGCTGCCTGGAGAAATTCCGAGCGAGTCGACTCGGAATTTGAGGGTACAAAGCAAGAGAAGAAGAAATTCGAGAGGCGATTGGTGAAGTACCATGACCTGCCGGAATATCTACAGGACAACGAGTTCATTTTGGACTACTACAGATGCGAATGGCCGCTCAAGGACGTGCTCTTGAGTGTTTTCTCTTGGCACAACGAAACCCTCAACATCTGGACGTGAGTGATTCTGATTCTTGTATTCCTCTAATCATATACGGGTTTACACAAAATCTATGTGTGATTAAATGTCGATTTTTATGTCGATTTTGCGATTGTTATCTGCAGACATCTAGGAGGATTCTTGATATTCGTCGGATTGACAGTGATGAGCTCCACGGTGGATCTCGGAGGCTTGATGACGAATTTTTCCAGGTCTGTTTGTTTGAAGAACTACTTGCGATTTCTCATTTTTTGTGTTCGCTTCATAAATTAAGCAGTAATTTTCCTTTTTCCCTGGAAAAAAAAAAATAGAGCTCGGGTTTCCGGCCAGTTAACGACGCTGATGATCAAGAATTTGAGCGTCTCCGATCATCACATATTTCCTGTGAGTTCATTATTTATTTTCTTTTTGCATTTTTTATTTAGGAAACAAAAAAAAAAAAATCCTGAATTTAGGTCAAGAAAATTGGGCGGAACATAACACACAAGAATTTGTTAATAACATGTAAATTATAGTATTTGTGTTTTGCTGATATTTTATTTTTTAGTAGGTTTTTTAAACAGTTATGATGTGTAAAAAAACCTTAGAAACTGATTTTAATAGGTATAGTAGATATTAATTATTTTCAAAAACCAAATCAAACATAATATATTTTTTTAAAGATTATATTAATACCTACTATAATAAATTTTTAAAGCTGACCTTAATTTTTGTTTTAAAGCCATAACTACGCCCACCACCGTGTGATTCTGGTTTCCTTCGGCGGGCTCTGAAAAGGAGATGTTTTGGTGAGGATGGGTGGGTCCGACTCCATGTGAGCCTAATCTCTTCGAAGTTCGAACTCACCAAAATAAATAAATAAATAAAATAAAATAAAATAAAATCTTTTATATCCATTGTTTGCATTTCTTAAATGTTGTTTGTTTTCAGTAAGCAAGAAGAACCTAAGAAAAGGTCAGAGTCGGGTTGCCACTTGTCCTACTTTACTTTCGGGGGATGTCTTATTGAATTTCTGAATTTAGCATGAGTACTGGGTTCTTATTCTTTTAAAAGGAATAAACTTGGTGATGTTACTTGATCTCTACTGATGACTTTTAAGTATTTCTATTGTGGAGGACGAGAACATGTACTATGGGATTAGGGGGTGTAGCATGTAACTTTTTTATAACTTGGTAGAGAGAATTGGTCATTGAAATCTGAGATTCTAAGGGGAAATTTTCTTTGCAGGATTCACAGTTAAGGTACATTTCTCAACAATCAAATTTAAGCATACAAGAAGAAAGTGGGTCTGAGGTCATTGCAAAATGGCCCTGGTTTGTTTTCTTGGCTGGTGCCATGGGTTGCTTGGTCTGCAGTTCCCTCTCACACCTCCTAGCTTGCCACTCCAAACCCTTTAACCTCTTCTTCTGGCGCCTGGACTATGCTGGCATCTCCCTTATGATAGTCTGCTCCTTCTTCGCACCCATCTATTACATCTTCTTCTGCTATCCTTATTCACAGCTGTTTTACCTCACATCCATAACTGTGGCCGGTATTCTTGCCATCATCACCTTGCTCGCCCCAGCTCTTTCTTCCCCTCGTTTTCGATCCTTTCGAGCTGCGCTGTTTCTCACCATGGGTTTCTCTGGTGCGGTTCCAGCAGCACATGCTGTTATCATCCACTGGGGTGATCCACATGTATTTGTATCCCTTGGCTTCGAGATTGTGATGGGCTTTCTCTATGCTGCGGGGGCTGCATTTTACACTAGTAGGATTCCGGAGCGATGGAAGCCTGGTGCATTTGATATTATAGGGCATAGCCATCAGATTTTTCATGTATTTGTTGTTCTAGCGGCAATTGCTCACTGTGTTGCCACACTAGTAGTTATGGATTTTCGCTGGGGATCACCAACCTGTATGTAGGCATTCTATACATTGCAGATGATTAGAGTAACTGGCCAGGAACCTCTGTCAAATTGTTTTCTCCCGTCTGGCTAAAATTGTATAACAAGAAGTTCAACCTCTATCACTACCAGGAAATTGTCTACAGATTTGTTCAAAAGGGAGAGGAACTAGCTGTATTAATTAATGAAATTCAATATTACTGTGTCACCAGTTATGCTATATTTTTCCTAGTCCTAGACTGCAAAAAAAAAAATTTTGTTGGTTATTGACCCAGCATTTTATGGAATGTATCAACCATGAAGTTTGGAAACACTTCATTTGGTTCAATTCAATAACTATCATCAAAGCTATCTCATCAAATCTTTAGCTACAGAGACGAGAAAGAAAAATGGAACTTTATCATTGCGTACCTTACTGATTATTATATTGTAACTTACTCAAGTGGGAAGATAACCAGGAAGGATGCAACCCCTTCCGCAGTTCTTTATGTTTAATTTGAGAACCAAATGAAAACTATGGCCAAAAAAAAAAGGAAGAGAAGAGTGGAAAACTGAATCATAAATGAAATACTCAACAGATCGCGGTCATGGTATGTGCCTTTGCATACCGGTCTCTCAAATTGCCTCCATCTTGCCGCAAAATCAAACTGTATCAGAAAGTTTTCATACCGGCGAGGTTCACTGTTAATCATGTCCAGGGAATCTTGCACTCGAATAAACTTTTCCATCCTTACCCCAGCCTACTGTGGTTATGCAATGATCATCAGTCTCAAAACTATACAAGCCTTGGCTATGAAGAATTCAACTTGCCTCTGAAAATAGTCCAAAATCATTATTCAACTTGTAACGTCAACAATCTCAGCTTCACTGTCACTATAATCTCCCCAGCGCTTGCTTGATTTTCTCTGTACTTCTCCTTCACTGCAAGTTTCATGTGAGGCAACAACATCACTAGCTATGGAGGTCACATCTGCAGTCTTGTCTTCAATTTCAGGTTGATTGACTTCATTGTCAGGAGAATGCGATTGAGGAGGTTTTTGCTCACTCGGCAGATAATTTTCACCAACCAATTCTGAGGGTTTATCAGGACTCTGCTCAGCTGCTACTTCACCCTTATTTTCAGCTCCAATATCAACAGTTACAACAGTTGGTGATTCTACTGATCCTACTAGAGTTTGCAGAAATCCATTTTGACTCACAGGAGTACCATTTGTTGATGCTGGATAACCATCTGGCGTCACAGGGGACAGAGGGGAACCGTCTGGAGAGAATGGCATCCCATTGGGAGCCAGAAAGCCATTTGGAGAGACAGGGTAGCCATTCCAAGGACTGGGCACAAACTCAGCAGCATGTGGATTCATTATTCTGGGAGGGCTGAAGTGATTTCCTTCGCCAGCATGCTCACTGCTGTGGAAGCTAGGGTTGTTGCGTTGAACCCGATTTCCTGATCTGTTATAGCCACCAGACAGCCTTGGACCAAATGGGACTCTAGCTGTTGCTGACTGGTGAGGTGATCTACGGACAGGATTGACTGGAAGAATCGGAGGTAAATTAACTGGAGGGGGAAGTATTCCTCCATGATCTTTGAAACCAGGAATTGTCACTGAGCTAAAAACTGGAATTGTTGAAGGGTTAAACGGTGGTGCAGCCGCAGAAAGCTTTTTGGTTGTCTCTTTTCCTGTTTCTGTTTCATCTTGTTTTTCTCCTTCATTTGGCAATGGCTTAAGATTTGCGTCTCCACTTCGTAGCTCTGGAAAATCTTCATCTGGCACATATTTTCTAGGAATAGAAGCTTCTTTTTCTGGCAACAGAGCTGTATCATTGGTAACTGGACATTGGTCTGAATCTTTATTTCTCAATGATTCAGTATTGGAAACTACAGCACTTGGATCTGTAGAAGCACCAGGGCTTTCAAATCTGACAACTTCAGCAAGTCCAGTTTTTGACATTTCAATGGCAACACTTTCTACTCCTATTCCAGCTTCCACTTTGGTGTCTTCAGCTGCACTGCCCTTTATTTCCTCCACAGGTTCTGCCTTTGAATCCCTGTCCCCTGGTTTTTGTTTGTCATTAGTGGTGCTACTTGGTTTCTCTTGAGAACCCAGAAGCTCCTTTTCGGCCATTGGTTTCTTACCTGCTTCCGCTGCGATCTTCAATGTTGTCGCATCAGTAGGTGTGACCTCTATCACAGCTGTCTCGTCCCTAGCTTCAGGATTGGCTTCTGTTAAAAGATCTCCCTTTGGCAACTGCTCCACCACTGCTTTCACAATTGTCCCAGGTGGGGCCAAAGCCACTTCTTTGTAAGAGAATATTTTACCAGCTGCCTGAACAGTGATTGGAGTTACCACTGGAGTAGACTTGGAAACTTGATCGGTTGAAGCTGGGCTAGCTGGAGCCGACTTTGGGTTAGCTGGTTTCTCCAATCCACCGGGGTAGGTGCCTGGATTATTTTGCTTCTGGCTGAAGCTTGCACTCTTAGCAAACTTTTTAGGAGCAGGAGGAATGGATCCCTGAGACGCAGCAGGCTCATTTACACTTGTTCTCGGGGATGTGAAAGTTGCAGGCTTTCCTCGATACCTTGATGACTGGGAGACATTCATAAAGTCGGTATTAAGTTTCGCTAGACTTGGCCTTCTTGAAGCAGAGGGTTTACGAGATGCAGGTGAACGACCTTTTGGAACAGCTTCTTGCCATCCTTCATCTGAGGGGTCATCCTGTGTCTGGTTGTCGTATCTAATCGGCATCAATTGATCAAGCAGAACTGAGCCAGATTGATCCTTTGCAGGTTCTACGAGTTCCTCAGATTTGTTTTCCTTGTCACTTGACTTTTCAGGAATAGGATAAGTTGGTGATGAAATCTCATCCTTCTGATAATCATCCCCCATTCCCTCCAAGTTCTGGCCTGGTTTGCCTTTAACCTGCGTGATGATGCGAGAACTTCTGTTACTTTGTAGTCAAAATAAAGAAAAGGATTTTTTTTCTTTTTTCATTTTTGTTTTTGGAAGAAAATACAAAGGATTAAAAACCAAGCATTTGTAGGAGAATGACCTTTGCACGAGCTTTCTTTTGGGCCTCTCTCGCTTTCATTTCTGCATCTGGGGCAATATAATCCAAAAGGTCCGATACACTGAACCAAGATGGGAAAATATTGTAAGCTCTAATTTTCACAATGTACTAGAAAAGAAATGAGATAAATGAGGAAGAAGGTAGTGAGATAGGGATAGTTTTTTTGGATAATTTTTTGTATTATTTTTGATAATTTTTTGTATTATTTTTATATATCATTAAATGAGTGAATGTATTTACTATGTAAATTTCAAATGAATAAAGAGAATCACTTATTTTAATAACAGGTAATGTTATACAAACATATTATCATCATTTTCCAATGAGAAATATTTAGTTAGCCAAGTGCAGGCTAACTAAAGCTTGTCTTGAAGTCCAAAAAAAAACCTAAAGCTTGTTTTAATTTGAAATTAGAAGAAAGCATTGAGTAAAAATATAGATTAATGAACTACTATTTATCTCCTTTCAATATTTACCTCAGATGTCCCTTGCTGGAGATTGAGGCATCAGGCTTAGGTGTACCATTGCGTGCAGCTTCTTGCTGCTCAAGAGCCTTGGACTCAAAGTACTCTAGCCATGCAGCAGCATCCTACAAGACATAGAATACTTAAATATAATAGAAATATAAGCACAAAGGACTAGAGGACAGAAAAGCATTATATTTCACACTACCTGGGTACGTAAATCATCTGACCCAAGTTTTGCCTGCAGTATCTGTAGGGTAGTTTGTTCGTGCTGAACGCTTAAGGTATAAGCTTCCATTAACGAGAGAGCAATTGCAATGGCATGGTAACTCGCAGCAGTCTATAGAAGCCCAAAATGAAACAACAATGAACATTTCACAATCGCTGGTAAAAAATGAACATTTTGATTATTGAATGTTTCTTCTTAACTTTCAGTTGGATTAGGTTACAATTTTGAGGCATTTGTCTGACTAAAGGAGCTGTACATTTTCCTTTAATCAACATGTTTCCCCTTTTTGATCTACAGTCCAAAGTTTGAGCTCCAGATTTTTAATTTTGAATATAATACTGATTTCAATAAATGTAGAAAACAGGTATAAATTAATCTTGTACTTATGATTGAATGCTGCTTCAATATCTTTACTTATTATTGTTAGGTTGCCAAAGTCATATAGAGGCTTCGTTTATTAAGAATGATATATGAGCAATTACCTGTATGTGGTCAGCTCCAAGTAGTCTTTGGTTACATTTGAGAGCCTCATGAAGATATCGAAGAGCAACATGGACATTCCCCAAGCCTTCTTCCATCATTGCTACATTAATATAGGTGGCTGCCGTATTTGGATGAGACGGCCCACAAGTTAAATGCAAAAGGTATAGTGCACGATTAACATACCTAGAATAAGAAAAAGATATATGTAAGCTTCCAGTCTTATCACAAGGGAATTAATCTTCAAATAGAAATCAACTTTATTCCATGGAAATAATATGGCTTGTAAATAGTTGTCGTTTATAATGGAGAATGTATCCATATGCTTCATCTAGCATTTGTGCCCCTAAGGGGTGCCTCTAGTAGTATAGAACTTGAAATTGTAAATTAGATATTTTAAGTTCAAATTCTTAAAATGTGTGGGAAGAAATTAAAAAAATGGTGTTCTCTATTATATAATCTAATAATCTTATATACCAAAAAAAAAAAAAAAAAGGAAAATGATATTGGCTAAATAAAAATTGAGCTTGATTATTAGAATTCAATGTTAATTGAATAGCAATTATTTTGCAATGGTGAAGTCTAGATTAGTAATTGTGAGACCTCCTGGCAATTAGTGAAGTGAATTGATCTCAGATTTTAACTAATAAAAAAATTTCAATCTGCAAAGAATTTCTTCTAACTTAAATTAAAAAAAAAAAAAAAAGAGGAAAAAGGGAGGTTAATGGACCTAGGTTTTTCTAAAGTTAAAAATTGAATCTTAGATCTCAAAATTGAAAAAGGAAATTTCTTTATCATGAAAATATAAAAGCATACTTCAAGGCCAACTCTGTATGTTGAAGGCGATAGTAGAAGACAGCTAAGTCTCCATAACTTTTCATTGTATCTGGATGGTCAAGTCCGAGGTCTCTCTCATTTATATCCAGCGCTTTCTGCTGATAAATGGTTGCCTAAATAATTGAAGTTTGAATAAAGATCAGCTTTTGCCAAAGCCAAACCAGAAAGTTGAAACAACTGTTACAAGTTAGGCAGAGATCAAAGGGAATATGACTAGCACAAACAAATGTTAAATCTTTCAGGCAACACTTCAAAGAAAGTAGGTAAAGTAAATAAAGTTGAAACAATTTAAGAAACACACTTAGCTATTGCTTTGATGTATTTCACTTTTCCCAAGAAGAAAAATAAAATTCCATTCTAACTCTTCAGAATTTATTATATATCACCAATAAACTTTGCAAGGTTTCACAAATCTATCATATTGGTTAGGTAAAAATGCAGATGAATCTGGCAATGCTATTGAACTGTCTTATAATATTGAAGCACATACCTGATTAAAATCCCCAGTATGGTAGAGGACTACTGCCAGAAGACTATAAGCTCCTGCAGTCATCCGATGGTAAGGACCACAGACAGACACTAGTTTTGAGAGTGCCTTCAAAAATTCAACATTGAAAAGTTGGTTCAGTTTGTCATTTATCAATGAGACCTTTTATAAGAGCAGAACGAGATAGTTTATATTCCATACCTTAGTTCCATAGTTAACAGCATCCTCCAATTTTCCTTTATCCAAGGAGGTCTTGGATGATTCCAGAAGTGTACGCCCATCTGCTGATGAACATGCAACATGCTGTGGAAAGGAAACAAAACAACATTGGCAAGGAAAATGATAAATTATGACCATTCAATTCCCAGTTCAAATGTGCAAGAGCAAGACTAATTTATGTTACCTTATATACAGGGACCATGCTAATGATATCTGACTTCCTAAAAGGAAATGGAGTGTCCATGTCATAGTCTCTTGGAAGAAGCTCAAGCCCAACCTAAGAAATTATCGTTTCATTTAGAAACTAAAGGTGGAGAGTATTCTGAGATTCAAGAAGGGTTTAGTAGACACACCTTGTGGGACAGTCCACGAAGAATGGCAAACTTTCTCAGATCCTGGCAGCTTTCCTGTTTCCACTGCCAACCAAACCTCTTTGAAAGGAATGTTTCCACCCATCTCCATTTTAATTTATCATCATTGCTGATATCTTCATCACCATTCTCAATTGATGGTGTTCCCAACAACATATTTAAACAGGCCGCTATTAATGCAGCCAAGTCAACAACATTATTAACCACTGATACAACAGCTTGCACCATATGTTTGTAGGCTCGAACAACCATTTCATGAATGCATAGTGACTGCACATGAGGCAGCTTGTCTGCAAGCTCAACCTAGAATGAAAGGGTAGGGAGAAGGGAGAAAGTTATGGACAAGAGAAAATAATCATAATCCCAGTCCTAAATTTGTCTATTATTCCAGAAACACTTCGGCAATGTGCTATTTTGCTAACTCAAAATTAACACCAATTAGTCTTAGAAGATGAGGAAGAAGAAGAAGAAGATAGAAGTAAATATTTACCACACGCCCCAAGGAAGACATTTGTAAGCCCCTCGTATGCATAAAATCTGTCAATGTCCTTCCATCAACTGGTGAAAGTTCAAGGGAGCCAAAATCTGCCACCTAATAAAATTTGAAGTCATGTCAAGCAGATACATCAAATCCAAAGCGCCTCAGGCATCAACAAACTGCTGATTGATAAGAAACTAACCAGTTTTGGAACTGCAGTATCAGCATAGTACTTATGTGCCATTTCAATCAGCTCGTCGGGGGACTGCCTCATGAACAAAGAAGACCAAATATTAACCCAAAAAAAAAAAAAAAGAAGGGGAAATAGAAAGGTGAACTCATAACTCATACTAAAAAAAAATTAATAATTGTTTATTTTCTTGGAAATCAGTTAGGTAATTAGGTTTAAAAAACTAAAAATATCAAACTTTAGTGTGCAGTTATTCTCCTTAGCACCAAGCAAACCTTAAGATGAAGACCAGTTTCTGATTCTTTAAGTCGCAAATATGCTGCTTCAGGAAGCAGACTCTTCCACAAATTTTCCGTTTCCTCATCGTTCTTTTCTAATTCCTTCTGCTTATTGCTATCTGTTTTCCGGCTCATGTCATGGTTGCTCACTGGGTTAATTTCCTCACCCTGTTCATTTCTCCCACTTCTGACATCTGTCTTCTTTTTTATCTCTTTCAGCAAAGCACCTTGCTTTCCAAGACCCTTCACAGCAGGCTCAGGCTTAGCGTCTTCACTTTTCTTGGACTCAGTTTTCCCAGAAGCCTGATTTTGTAGATGTTGCACCCAGCATGCTCCTAGCTCCCATCTGATAGACCTGAAGTTTTTAGAGGGTTCAGCCTGCAACTTCAGCAAACTATCCTCTAACACTTTCCTCACTGAAGCACTGGCTGAATGTAAATTCTCAAAATCTGCACCCTGTAATCGTTGAGCTGATGACTGAGGTGTGGATGACTTGTGTAATAGCATTCTCAAGCTGAAAGGTCATTGTATAACAAAAAGCATGTCAATATCTCATAATTCTATGTTAACAAGCATAATGTGTGCCTTTGAATTCATGCATTTCTTTTCAACCGTTTGTCTGTGCCTGTATCAGCAATTAGTTGGTTTGCACAGTAAATGTGGCTTAGCAATGGATAACAGGCATACAGCAAAACGAGCAGAACATGGCAATCTATCCTGGTCTATTACTATCCAATCATGAAAGCAGTAAAGCACAAGAGATGAGCAAACCTATTGACATTTAAGGCATTGGCACCTCCTTCAGGCTGGTCCTCAATGTCAATGTCCTGGGGAATAGTAGCTCCCTGCCAATTCACCTCATCTGCAACTTTTACCACAGCTGTGTAGCCACAATGTCTGACAACTACAACACCTAAAGTAGAAGTATCCTACAAGACCAGAACATGACTTCTGCAATTAAATAAAACCTGCTTCAGTACATCAATGTAAACATTCTGAGGAGACATTAACTCACATGAACAGTTGCACTCTCATCGGCAGTTATGCCTTTTAGTAAATTTCTTCGAGCTAGTTCTTCTTGTGAAATTCCAAGAACTTGTGTCCCATCATTTTTGCGATCCAATTTCATACTTGCATCAGGGGCATCTCTTGTCACCTTTATAATCAAATCCCCAACTCTTTCTTCATGTGAAATCGAACTGGAAGGATCACTGACAGTTTGCTGATTTGTTTCAATGATATTTCTTATTGCAGAAACAGCTTTAAAAACTGAAACGTCAACAAACAGGCAGTGAAGTAGAAAGGCTCTTCGATCTCGAATCTGCCTCTCTTCTACCGTCTTGCAAGGCATAGCTGCCAAAACCGCAAAATCTTTTGCCCATTGTCTATTATCATGCTTTCCATCTCTTCCTTGTCCTCCTCCATTTCCTCCCCAGTTTTCATCTTCAACTGGAAGTGGAGGAAAGACTGATGGATTATCCGCAACCACAGGTGGGACAACCCATGTGTTGGCCCGAAACCCATAAGGAAGGTTTCCAAACTGAAATCAAATAAAAACACATAAACTTGAAGTCGTTTATCTGATTATTGTACAAATCAAACAACATATATATTGTGAAATTCACTTACTTTATTGTGCTCAGTGAATGCTTTCATGAGAGCCTTGTATGCCTGCAAGTAAAATTACAACTTCGGGATGTAAACACAAAGAAAAATACATAAGCCAACGTGAGAGTCAAGATTAAACTTACAGCATCAAATATCCTGCTTATCTGCTGCAGAAGTCCCACCAAAGAGTGGCAGAGAAGAGGACGTTTTCCGGCAGGATAGAACCCTTTCCGAGAAGCAACAATCGTCACCGGCTTCCCGCTGCAAACCCGAACCTGCATTCACAGTTTGATTATATAAAACAGTAACCCAACCAGCCATATTTGGGGAGATTATACTAGAAGAAAAATGAAAAAATATCAAAGGGACACTCACATCAATCTGAAAAAAGTCGTCATCTGTTTTATCCTCCAGGAATGGACGATTAGATCTTCTAATGTCTGCAAGAGAACCCCAAAACCAGATAATTCTGAAGCTCAATATCTCTTTAGAACTGCAAATTAAGAATGCATAAATCAGAAACCAAACTCACATTGGACAGGAGTCGAGAGGTGAGAAAAGTTGAAGAAGTCATAAAACTGGCCGAGCGGCGGCGGAGGATACATGGAGAGTGGTAGAGCTGCGTCGCCCTTCTCCTTCGGGTTAGATCCACTTTCGGAAGCATCAGACACATGGCTGGAACCACCGCCATCAGGTGAACTGGTTTCCTTGGTTGCTGCTCGACCGGTGGGCTTCGGCGAGCCGAAGGAGGTGGTGCAGGCGACGATGTCGAGGAGGCGCCGGATGTGAGCGACGGCCTGTTCCTCCGTGTAGTCCTCTGCGCGGAAAAGACGGTTAATAAAATAAACGATCTGGCGCGGGCGGTCGTAGAATATGAAGTAAATTAGGGGATTTGCGACCGTTGGATGAAGTTGTTACCTTCGAGGATGGACAGGTGGCAAGGTTTGAGTGAAGCGATGTCAACGGAGTCCTTGAGGCGAGGTCCTCTCATCTGCAGCCGATTTTTACCGAGGATAAATCAGACAATCTTCATGTTATGTTTTTTTTTTTTTTTTATCAAAACTTCATGGTAGTTACGTGATTGTTAAAAAAACATATCTAAGCAAAGGGAAAAAAATTCATTAGTAACACCATAGGTGGTAGTACATTGCTATAAGTGCTCGCTGGACCATTTTTTTTTTCACATCACCATCATTTGATTAAATCTACCAATCTTTTTTCGTATATTTAGATTAAGTGATTTATCATTTATCTTTTAAATAAAAACACTAAGTTTGATATTTGAATTTATATGATAACTTTTTTCTTCTCTCATAAAATGTTAGAACTATTTATAAATTTGTTCAAAAAAAATGTAAATTAACTAAGCTAAACCAACTTTGAAATATTACAATAGTATAATTTTTAAAATTACTAAAAAAAATTAATTTTAAGTTATGTAAAATTTAGTATAAAGACACTAAATATCAATACAAAAAATAACCAAACTCGTGTCATTCAACTTAGGGTTCTACGTGGACCACACTATATTAATTTTGTGCGCTTATTGAGTGAAGTCATTCCCACATTGTAGAGGCCAACGTCAAAGCCTAGCCACCACCGAAAAAAGTATGTATAATGATATAGATATAATGTTAGAATTGTAAATTTATAATTATATAATGTATTATTAAATAAGTTAATTGTAAACCCACTCCAAGCTATTACCTATATAGTTTTTATAAAATACTTTAAATAAAAATATTTCTCAAAAAAACAAAAAAATCCAATACCTCATGACACAGAGTGAAGTTGGTCATATGACATGTTTCTACATGGACCGCCAAAAGCTTTCTTACGTCCAGAATCCTGTCAGTGGATATTCCCTGTATTATCACGCACAGAAATTGAAAGTCAAAGACTATGGTTTAAGTCTTTGCAACCCAAGAAGAATACCCAAGAAGAATGATTGGTTCTAGATTCAAGTGTTTAGAAGTTAAAACAGAAACAATTTAGGATACAAGAACATGCATACCTTGAGGGTTAGTTGGGAGTCGTCGAGTGTGTCCACTGTAATTTCGATTACGGTTGGCAATACTGTAAATAGGACAAATAGGAAATGTTAGAGCGACGGAGTTGAAGAGATAAGGTTTCCTTTTTTGGTCCCGAAGCTAGATACTTTGACCCATATAGGCACACATCCGGTAATAGAATCCGTAAGGATAATATGTAGAAAGTTAAAATCAATTCCAAACCATACATTTGGGATTGGTGGGACTTTTCAAAACAGTAAAATATCAACTTCTCAAAATTTGAGAGGTCGTTGTAAAGTTTCGTGTTTTGATTTTCTTCCATTTTCATGGAAAACAAACAGATGGAACAAAGAAGAAACAATGAATGAAGCAAGTAGGAGGGAACTTAATATATGGACCTTTCTCTTCTTTCTTCTTCTTCTCTCCCTTTGCTTTATGCGGCTTTGCCTTGCCTGCTTTCGGAGCCATTTTGCACCAAAACTCTAGGATTCTATTTCTTGCTTTAATTGAATTTATTGAATAAATCTTTCTTCATGCAACTTCTCAAAGAAACCAAGAATCTCGAGCGAATATTATAAGTTTTATTATTTCTCTCCACAACAAGAGAAATAGACAAAAAAAAAAATGGAGAAAATTGGAGTAGAGACTCGAAGTTTGAGTACTGGAAAAGAAGAGTTAGAGTTAAAGTGGCGAGAAGAAGGGTTGAAATGTTGAAGAGATG